TTAATCCAATCGCAACGGATTAAAGGTGGCCCTTGACCTTTTACATACTGTTGGCAATTATTAGAAGCCTTGGGGGATAAGAGAAATAAAACTGCAGACGATTCCGGTGTAATTACTATATTTTGATTAGTAATTATGGAGGAAGTTCGGATAGACACACCCGCACATATTAGATCACAGAACATTACTTTCTATTGTATACCATACAACAGTGACTTCGAACTGTCACCCGATATGATATGCCAACCTAACCTATCAGACAACGCAAGGTTGCCAAACCAGTAACATGCGATATTGCATATTTTAACACTCTCCCTCAATATCATAAGTTACTGCAAATGTAACTTACCACATAGATATCTATTTTGACAGAATCCAATGGTTTTGTCAGTACATCCTCCACCATTTCCTGTGTTGGCATGTACATCATCTTTATATTTTCTCGAATAAAATGATATTTGATATCTATATGCTTAGTTCTTTTTTGGTACACCTCATTTCTGGCTAAACTTATGGCACTCTGATTATCATTAAAAATGGTGACAGGTTCATTTATTTTTAAAAACCTACAGCTGGAATTTACATCATACAGTTCTTTCATCAAGGACTTAACATATAATGATTCTTTGACCGATTCACATATTCAAAGAGCTAAAGATTTTTGTTTATGACATTCCCAAGAATAGGACCACCGGCCAATACAAAAACATAGCCATAGTATGATTTTCTATCTTGTTATCATTGGCCCAATCAGAATCTACATAGCCAGATAAAGGAATATTGATCTTACTGAACTCTAATCCTACATCCATGGTACCTTTCAAGTATCTCAGCACCCTTTTAGCACATAACCATTGCCCTTTTGTATGTTTATTATTGAACTGACTTAAATAAGAAACTGCGAAAGCAATGTCTGGTCTTGTGCACACAGCAAGATACATCAATGAACCGATTAATTGCTGAAAAGGTGCATCATACATCTCTCCCTCATGGATAATATTTTTGTTTTGTTCCAAAGGAGTATTAACAGTTTTGCACACAGACATTTCAAACTTATCTAACAATTTTTGGATATATTGTTCTTGACTTATTTTTTAGCTTGTCTTTTGAACGAACAACTTTCATACCCAAGAAATAAAAGTTAACAGACCTAATTCTTTTATATTGAAATGTCTATTCAATTCCTTCTTAAGGTTGTTAGCCTCCTCTAAATTATCATAGAACAAGAAGAAATCGTCTACGTACAAGGCAATTACAGTAAAGGAATTTTTGATATTTTTATAGAAAATGCAAGGTTCAACTTTTGACTGACTCTAGCCCAACTGAAAAAGCACTTTATAAAATTTCTCTTATCACAATCTAGCCGATTGCTTGAGACCATAAATTGCCTTGTTCAGACGACCCACTTTACCTTCTGAGCCTGGAACTTTAAAGCCTTCTGGCTGACTCATATATATATACCTGTATATATATATATATATATATATATATATATATCGTCATCTAAGTCACCATTGAGGAATGCAGTCTCTACATCCCAATGCTCAGCTGATAAATTTAACTCATCGCCAATAAGAGTCTCAAATTACTAAACCTTATAACAGGCGAAAAAGTTTGTGTATAATCAAGGCCATATTTTTGGGTGAAGCCTTTAGCAACTAACCTTGCTCTATACTTTGATATTTTTCCATCACTATCCCTTTTTATTTTAAAGATCCACTTATTTTTTACAATATTTTTTCCGGGTGGTCTGCCGACTAACTCCCATGCTTCATTGGCTTTAAGAGCATCCATTTCCATTTTTATAGCACTTTTCCATTCCATTTTGTCGGAACCGGACAAAGCTTCACAAAGTGTTGTAGGCTCAGAACTATGATAAGTGACTACCATTGCATATTCAAGATCTTCATCCATCAAGTAATTATCAAAATATTTTGGCTTTTGAACATTACGTCTTGGATATCTACTTGCATTTGGTTGTCCGCCACTTTCATCACTCACTTCCGCACTTTCACTAACTCCACACATAGGGCATCATCAGTCACAGTAGATGCCATCTCATTCACTATCTTTTGTGGCTGTGGCGTCTGCTTCTTCAGGAACAACAGGAAATTCATCCTCCAAAAAACAACATCCCTAGCAACGTGCAGCATATGGGAAAGAGGGTGTACCAGTCGATATCCAACAGTTGTCTCTGAATATCCTGTAAAGATATACTCTTGACTTTTGTCGTCAAGCTTCTTTCTTCTCGCATTAGGTATATGTGCATATGCCCTGCACCCAAAACCCTCAAATGCTTGAGATTTACTTTCTTTCCGGACCATACTTCCTCCGGGGTAGCACCCTTTATCGTTTTGGTGGGTGACCGGTTCAGCATGTACACTGCTGTGTTTGCAGCTTCAGCCCACAATTGCTTTTGGCTCCTGGCCTAGATAAGCATGAATCTTACTTTCTCCTTGTTAGATCGATTATATGTTTCTGACAGACCATTTTGTTCTGGACAAAAAGGTACAGTCAACTCATGCGTAATGCCTTTTTTCTTCAAGAAGTTAACCAGTCTCTGATTACAGTATTCCCTGCCGTTGTCAGATCTGAGCACTTTTATTTTTCTTCCAGACTGATTTTCAACGTATGTGCAGAATTCCTCAAAGATTCCTGGTCTTCAGGAAACGGCAAAATACTTTCCTTGAGTGGTCATCAATCAGGGTGAGCATATATCGAGCAGCTCCCTATGACTCAACCACCATTGGCACACATAAATCACTGTGCACCAGGTCAATGACATTTTTAGCTATTTGTTTACCCTTCAGGAAAGGACACGGCTTGCGTGCATGCTTTCCTTTTACACAGCTGATGCAAATCGTTGGGGTAGCTAGCTCTTGAAATTCAACACCTATTGCAAACTTATCTTTGAGAAGCTTCATGCTGAAGTGTAAGATGCCCCAGCCTCCTATGCCATAACATATCATTATCTGATTTAACTAAATTTACCTTATCAGTGATTGTGTCTAGCTCATACAGTCCACCATTGTTCGATGCTGAAGCTAACGGCTCTCCCTGAATGCGATATTTTTCTTTTTCAAATATCCTGCATCCCTTAGAGTCAAAAGTAACACTGAATCCCTTCTTCACCAAGGTATTCACTGATAACAGGTTGACACTTAAGTTTGGCACATACTTCACCCCACTGATTTTTGTTTTTCCACCATTTCGCTGTAATTTTACTTCAGAGTCCCCTATTCCAGCAACACATAACTTTGGGTTATTTGCCATCACAACTTCTTCGCCACAGTTAGACGAAAAGTCTTTTAATAGTTCTTTGGACCCTGTCATATGTGAAGAAGACCCACTATCGACAAGCTATACACTATTTTTTGTTATAGAGCTTGCTTTGCTCACCATCAGACTTATGTTGGAATTTTTGTCTTTGTCAGCTTTCTTTCGGGTACACTGGTTTTTGTAGTGCCCCTTCTGCTTACAATTCCAGCACCAAGGACCTTTATTTTTCTTGATCGCCAAGGCGCTATCTCCATGTCGTCCAGCTTGCCACTTGGTGTTCTGCAGGAGCTTGGTTTTCACAAAGTCTGATGTAATGGTGGCAACCAGAACTTTCCAAGGCCATGACCATTGGTTCATATTCCTCAGTTAAACCTTGAAGCATCACTACATCTAGGAATTCGTCGTCAATCGGCTTTCCCATTGATGCAAGTTGTTGTGACACGGACATTACTTCATTCACGTACTCCTCCATGGAACTAAATTTCGATAGTTTCACTGAGCACAAACTTCTCAATAGGCGTAAACGGCGATGTGGTCCGAATGCGTTTTCCAGAGCTGTCCAGGTCTCCAATGCAGACTTTGCCTTCATTACATGAGGGTAAGTCGCTTTGTCAAGAGAAAGTATTATTTTTGATAGACACTTCTCTTCGCGCCGAGCATGGGTCGCAGCATCGGTTTCTTCTCCAAAACCCGACAAACACTGCCACAGCCCATCACCCAAGGGTGTCATCTGGAATTTCCAGGTCCCGTAGTTTTCACGGTCCTTCAACTTTTCGACCACCAACGGCCCCGAACCTTCGCCGGCGGCTATGTTCCCGTGTCTTGAAACTTCTTCCGTTCTAACACGTGTCAGCAAACGGTCTGCTCACACAAATTTCTCTTTCCAAACCAAGGCTGGGCCTAAAACCGATCTGTCAGCAATTATTAGAAACCTTGGGGCCTTGGGGGATAAGAGAAATAAAACTGCAGACGATGCCGGTATAATTACTATATTTTGATTGGTACGAGGGATGTCTTTTAAGTTTTGCATATGGAAATAAAACAACACGGTAGGTAGTTTTAAATGACTTTATTGTTTTTCGAAGTATTCTCCACGAAGGTTAATACACATCTGCATGCGCTCGAACCAATTTTCGAAGCAATTATTCCACTCGTTTGCTGGCAGATCCAAAACGGCATTTTTGAATGCGTCAACTGCTTCTTCTGGTGACTGGAACCTTTGACCACGCAGTCTGTTTTTAATGTTCGGGAAAGTAAACAAAACTTTAGGACTTAGATCGAGACTATATGGAGAATGGTCCAATAATTCCACGTTTTCTTCCGTTAAATACTGCCTTGTTTTTTGGGCTGTGTCCGAGCTTGCAATGGCTTGGTGGAGGATGATTCTTCTTTCGGGGTTGATTTTTCGAAGCTCGGCACATGCCCCACTATACCGCACCTGTGACATTTTCATTTCCGAAAGAAACATCAGATATCTTCGTGGTTTGATTTTCCACAATAGCGGCTACAGCGGGAACGTGGCCCATGATTAAGCTGCTCTCTGCTCGAAACTATGAACTGCTACCATCGCCGCCGTCGACTTTACTTCCCCCACCACGAGGGAATTGTTCTCTGCGGCCTCCATATTGAAGGCGATTCTTACTGCTTTAATGTAGTTCAAATCTTTGTCGGTGAAAAGTTGTTGATGAATGCTGTCACTTCGGAGGCAATATAGGAATTGATCAGTTGAATGGTCTTCCAAACTCTCCAAACTGGCATGTTTTAGCTAATTTTTTAAGTGCATCTAAATATTGCGCTAAAGATTCGCCGCGCTCTTGCTTGCGCAATCTTAGTTTAAACCTTTCTGCTCTTTTGGACGGCTCTGGTTGTAGATGATTTATAACTAACCTGATCATTGCCTCATAGGTAATTTCCTCCGGTTTGTTACACAAATCAATGATCAGCTCGGACATTTCTTTACCGACGACAGCCAACAGTGTATTTATTTCCAATTCTTCTTCGATTTTACTAGCAATGAAGTACTGGTCAAATCTAGAGATGTACATAGATATTCCAGTTCGACCCACTTAAACTCCGACATCCGTCCGATCGACATTTTATTGTTCAACTGGCGTACAACTGCGAACACAAAAATCACGCGCAACTATGTTCGTAAAATATGTGAATTTTCCTTGTCGCCAGTGTGACAACTGGGGGTGTGTACCAAACACCATTTACTTCGCAACTGATTTATTTCTCTCCTTTCTAGTCGAGTACGACCAACTGGTCGACAAAAAAACATACAAACATAAATAAAATTAGCACTATTATAACCTAAGACACGTAGCGTTGAAGGATATGTTGCTTCATTTCTCAAACTAGGTACGTTTGCACGATTCTACAACCGCAGCAATTTGCTCCTTCATTATAATTCTGAAATTAATAAGAATTCATGCAAACATAATCGTATTATATTTTGATATCTGCATTCTGTTAACATCGAATCGTACCATCGTTGTGTCGGTTCGACCTAGCGATATTTTTTACTACCTTGCGGCAAAGCTGTAATTGCGTTCCAACCAATCAAATTAATAATATTCTTTATTTTGCAGACGTCGAAAACAAACGAAAGAAAGAGGTAAAGTGACAATGTGAGAGCGGCTGTTGGGAGAGCAGCAGCCATATTAGTAGCCCAACTCAATACTTCCACCGCCATATGAGACACACCGACCATCACCAGATCACGAATCGTCACCGACTACACTATGGACAGCGACTCCACCAACAGCACTACCCTTCCTCCCACCATTTGGAGTACGCTACCACGTCGGACTCGTCGTCTGATGATTGTGAGGAAGATGAGAAAGACGATACCGATGATTCTGCTCCGTAGGTGGTACTTACACGTACGATTTTTAAGTTAATATACCATCTGGCGTTCGATACCTCATCCCACTCGTCATTTGAGAATAAGGAAGAGGACAGCAGCGATAGCGAAGATTCTTTCTCCGAAGGCGGGGATACCCCCCCAACACTATTTTTTAGAGGTAAACATCACTATCTATAAGACCATCGTCTGACATACGCTGCTGTGTCGGACTCTTCATCGGATCAAAGTAGTGACGAAAAACACTAGGATAGCGACGATGCCACTACATAATGCTGATGTAATCAGTACTACTCTTGACCTGGCGAAACAATCAAGCGGGGAAATGATGAGTAGTGCCGCATGAACCTTTAGGTGGTATCATCCGAGAAACTGTCGTCTCTGTCAGATCCATCTGCTTAGCTGATAATGATTTGCTTCTTTGAGGTGCTTTATGCTAAAAAACACTCTCTTGCAGCTCTTCGATCGGCATTTGTTATTTATTAACCATTTACCGTACAGTGTTGACACACGAGACAGCTCACTTAATACTTTTAACACTTAAATACTCCATAAAACTTGATTAAAACAATATAATCGTTTTTTTTTTAATACGCCGCGCAAATAATGCTTTTTGTGCTTTCAGTAATATTTTCCAAATTACAGTCCAACAACTATATTTCACGCACAATGTCTGATAACATCGCTATTTTTTGCCCGTATTCCGATCGCCTGACAATTAATTTTCATACCATACACGCTGGTTCCGAATTTGATTGCAATATTTCTAGGGTAGTCAGGATAACAAAAAATTTACTACAAACAGATACTAAAATGCCCTCTTGCACAATTACAAGTTGAACTTGGAATTCGAAAACAAAAGATATCTACTATTTGTGAGACGGATAAAGATGTTGGTTTTGAATTGTTTACATTGAGTGAAGTCAGCATAATTGATACAAACATACATTTTCCGGACAATTCTAAACCAGCGGTGCATAAGTAGTCTGAATAAGGAATATTCTCTATGCTATCGATCATTCCCTGAGACCCCTTGGATTTTTGAAAACACAGCTTCTAACGGATTCTAAGAACTACCATTATCAAATCAAGAACTCCATTTTTGATGGTTTCATTTTTTCTAATAGTTATTACCAATTTCAATTGTATATTTTAAATTTAATTTACTTATGGCATGTGCCTCTTTAGATAAGATAGGAAAAGGATCGTCGATTTCCGTGGCTGTCGAGGGAACTGCAATATGGTAACACAGAGGTGCACTAATTTGTTGTTTTTAGGAACGCGTATTTAATTGAATTGATCAGATGATCTTTGATAAATTCGTTAGAAATGTTTTGGTACCGTCCGCAGATCAAATCCCTAGTGTAGACCTAGCATAGGGGCATACGTTTTAGTTAAGACCACTGATATTCTGTTAGTACCCTTATTTGAAGTTATCAATAAGATCATCTTTACGTGTTTGATCCAGACTATAACAAACCATCAAAAAACTGCGTGACAAATTGTTTTCCTATCCCCCGTGAGTAAAGTAAAAAAAGTACTGCAATCTACTCTAGTCCATGTTGCTGTTGTTAGGTAGCACTGATTGTGAAATTCATCAAATATTGTAAGTTAAAGGTAGTTATAGCAAACAGTTGGGAGTTAAAAAGATTATCTTGGTTATTTACACAAATTGTTGCTTTAAATTATAAATTCTTGTGATTGTAGGTCGTTGTTTTGAGAAGTGAGGGAAATCTCAACTTTCTCACTGTTTTTAATAAAAAACTAAATGTCGTAGGTTTTAGAAACATACGCATTCTTCTCAAAGGTAAAAATCAGTTTATATAGCTATGAGAAATAAATAATGTACAAAAAAGTGTGACTGCTCTCTTATCATGATCGTGATTATGTAATTGAATAAATAAATTGAATAAATAGTTTCCCTACAGCTCAAGCGAGCTCCACCACATATGATTCTTCGGTACAGACATTTCAACTCTGATAGGAGCACTTTGCTTTGCTTCCAAGCTTTTATATATGTAATTTGTGGAAGGGGGTTTTTGGGCAAAAGTTCGGTTGCAGTGTAGAGAGCCAGGGGCTTTAAATCAAATGATATTTCGGGCGCGGTTGTTGCGTTCAACGCATCAACTCAATACTTGTGTAGCATTTTGTGTACATATATAACGTTCGTTGAATGATTTGTGCAACGGCTTCCGTATCACTCGATATACTAGGGAAATAATGGGCACACAGAATAGAGGTGGGTATGAAAATATAGGGGGTGTTAAGTATGTATCATAAATTTAACAGATAATTCTTTGAGCATTTTTAAGACAAAAAGTTCATATAAACGTGGTCCGCAAATTCTTCGTTCTCAAGTTACAGGATGGTAAAATTAAAAAAAAATACCGTAAATATCCTTTACCCAAGTTTGTTGCAATTTAGCGGTGGCATTTGTAACAATAAATATAATAATAATTTAGCTCTGATTAAATTTGTTCCAGTTGGTCGTCTTGAGCGGGAACTGAACCAAGATTTGTGACAAAAAAATTTACGCCACTGGCTTTTGTGCAATTTTTATTATGTTCTCTGGATTAAATGAATCGAAATACAACTTTTTTGTTTCTTGAATTTTTTCGTATCTTGCTTAATTTTCGAGAAAAAAAAAGTCCAGTTGATTGCATATCCCTGGACCCCACAAGGAATATGGGGAAACGTTTCTTTTTGAAATTATTATTTTTTATAATTTTTTATTACAAATTATATAACATCAACAATAAATTGTGAATAACGTTAACATCTAGACTAACAAATTTCACTAGATTAAGTGTTGGAACTAACTCTCCTGAAAGGCGTATTTTTTATTATATCGTATGAATTAATGATTCTATTCCGTAAATCCTCTTCACTTTCAATAGGAGTTTTGTATACCAACGCTTTATTCCTATCGGGTGAGCGAGGGCTATGGCCTGCCAATCCAGGGATTATGGTAATTTTCATCCAAAAATTGCCGCCCCACTACACTAAAGTGTGGCGGAGCCCCGTCTTGTATGTACCACATACGGAATCTTTGACTGGAACTTCTAAAAGCCCAGGTAAAACAAATTCTGAAAACCGGTAATTTTCTCCATTAAGTATAGCTGGAAGAAAACGAGGCCCAATGAGATGGCCATCGGCAATTCCAAACCAAATATTAAAAGACTGTCTTGAAAATTATGTTCTATTGAGGCCTGTGGATTGTTCTCGGTCCAAATGTGATTGTTGTGTAAGGTAATAAGTGAATTGTGAGAAAAGGTAGCTTCATCTGTAAACAATATTTGACTTAGGAAACCTAGATCCCTTATCATTTTACTGCTTAACCAATCAGAAAAAGCTAGTCTTAGAGGCAAGTATCTGAGTAATGCAGTTTGCACACGTTGCATATGATGTGGATATGGCTGCTGGTCTCTTATAATCAGCTTTACTGTGACATGGTTAATATTCAGTTCTTCAGCTATTTTCCGAGTACTGGTATGAGGATTTGGTTCAATTTCATTTAAAACAGCTTCCTTTAATTTGAACTATTCTTACCGTTGCAGGCTTCCGGATGACAATCGTCGATCTTTTAAAGCTGCCCGTTTTAGAAAGTTATGCATGGAGACGTACAAAAATTCTTCTATTACGCACTACATGCTGAGGAAGTATTTCATGATAAATGCGTCTTGCAGCATTAGATGTTCCATGAGCCATACCATAACAGAGATGCATATCTGCCATTTCACTATTAGTAAATTGAACCATATTGAATAAAAAATAACCACTAAAAACACTTTTTATAAAAAATATGCAAGACTTTACGTAACTTAACTTAGAAAATGAGCATTTAATCCGCATGCGCAGTATAATTAAAAAAATGTATAACTAAAAAAATATTTATTGAACAGTCCCAGCTATAATAGAACAAATTCTTCACATAGAAGTATTCTACCCACCTGGATTTTCGACATTACTCTATATTATGAACTGATCAGTGCAATATCATGCAAGCACATCTCTTGTTAATTGATCATCATGTATATTTATTGCATAAACATAAATACTAAAATAACAAAAAATATATCTGTAGTTAAAGGACCGACTGGAATACAAATATAATCTCTCTGATATGTGGATCAAAACAATTGTGCACACACTATTAATGGGTGAAAGCAAACAAAATGCTTCTCAAGAAAAAAACACGTAAAAACATTCGTTACTTCAAACTAGGAAACAAACTCCTGATGTCATTGACAATTAATTTGGTATCCTTAAAATTAATGATCTTCATTCCAACTGTCTCCCCCAAAAAATTATTGGCATAATATCACTGTCGTATTTGGTCAGATAACAGTAAATGGAAAGATAGTCATCTCACCATGCCCCTTCAGATGATACTGCTTTGTAGTGATGTTTCAAAACGTCGTGGGCCATGACCGTTAAACGACATGCGCGGATTCAAATCTGTAGAGAAGCTGACACACAATACAAGCATACTAAAAACATACCTGCTTCTAGGTCTGCTGTAGACCAATCAAATTATTTCGGTAATTTTTGTCACACTTCTATTTTTATTAAATAATTTGGTGTGGTGATAGAACATGAATTAATTACAGAACGCATATTCTTTAACGGAACATTGAGAATATTCAATTCATTTGATTCCCTTACGAAACGTTTCCCTACTATTTAAGTATTCAATGGCGTGCTTAGAGCTAATATGACTGACTTATAACCGTTCCTCATTGTGTGTTTCGCCGTCGTCGCGTCGGTGGCGTGGTATGGAATCAGTAGCGTAGATAGCTGGTAGCTGACAAATGAATTATGGAAGGAGTATTCAGTATGGGACGGTGGTAATCACCATTTTTAAAACCTGATTTGAAGAGAAGTTCTGCATTCGGTACAAAGCCTTTTTTTCCACAATGCAACACAATTAATCGTTTTCCCTTGACCAGTGCTGCTTTCAGACAGGTATTTGTCCCATTGTCCCAGGACTTTTGCGCTGTATGAGAGCTGTGAATGTAAGTCTCATCGCTGTATACAATGCTCCTACCCGAGAAAAGTTCTCCTCTAGAGCAAACTTTCAATTTTACAAACTTTAAGGAAATTATTTTGAAGTATGCGGTCATTTTTCAATACATTTTTGTTAAGGCATACCTATATATCGTCGGCTTAATTTTCAAACCGTGCAACTCCGTTCGAGCCTATTTTTCAGGGGAGCATAAAAACCAATTATACAGCTGCATGGCATGAATATTTGATCATTCTTTTTTCATTTTAATGCTATTGTAGGTCAGGATTAGGACTGCTACTTAGACTATGATGTTATTTTATTATGCATTGTGATAATGGAGTTACGTGATTTACCAACGAACAACCAATGGAGATACAAACTTTGCGGAGAGATACGATTTCTTATTTCTCCGCAATTAAGCAGATCGCTGGAAATAGGAGGTATTCCTATACAAACATTTACCGTCCATTATAAAAAATAATATTTATTATGGCACAGAGAACATAAAAATACAAAGGATTTATAGAAGAATTGTGTTTCAAATAGGGCGAATTATCATAAAAGTCGTGGTAGTACTTATCCAGACTTTTCTTGTATCAAATGGAACAGGATCAATTTTCTTCACTCATATAGGAGGTTCTTCCCAAGATGAGCTTGAATGATCCAGTTTATATGATATTTTTCCATCAGGAGTGAATCGTAACGCTCTAAGATCGGTAACAATGGGGTTACCTGAACGCTTGCCCGGCCTTATGGTTTTGTAAAAATTCAAAGACCGTTCCATGTTCTTGAAGAATTTGTGTTTCAGATATTGCACGTAACATGATTTCTTTTTATAAGCGGTCTTAGCTATATACGCATAATCTGCTGGTAGAGTAACCTTTTTGTTTCTCATAGCCCTTTCTATTACAGAATAACATACTGTCACACTCCATCTGTGTGTGGCCTTTGTCTAAATATTTTTGAATAACTGTAATATTATTGATCATGGAGAAGTTGACAAGAGCGTTTGACAGTATTGCATTTCTATTCTGGTAAGTGCATCCGTCACTCTAACGTATAGTACATCAGTCAGCGCTTACAGTATGATTGGAAATAAAGTCTTGAAGCATTGATACCACAATAGTCGAGAATTAGTTGGCTGTCAAAGCACCTTCAGACTCGTTCCATATATAACAATAAACTTCACTCCTTTTTAGATCATATACAGTGAAGTTATGGACAGCAAGCTTTGTTTTAAAATAGAGAGATGCAACGTTAGATTTAGGACTTAAGAGCACCGACTGTAAGTCCATCGTGAATAATTCATTGCTGGTTATTTTATCAAGAGCTTTTGCATCTCTGGCATTATTTTTCAATTCGATATGAGGGTCATTCTAAAAATTTGAGACAATATAGGAGGTGAAAGTGTAATCGACCAAAGGTTTCGATATTATCACTTTTTTCAATTAAGTTACATGGGATATTGCTTTCTAATAATGTTTAGGTGTGTGGCCAAAAATCTAAGTCAAAATTTTAGATTTTATTGAAAAAAAATCAAAATTTGTGTCCACGGAGTGGAATGGGTTTTCCACGGAGTAGAAATTTCATGTAGTTTTAACATTTATTTATTGTTTAGAAAAATATAAATAACCGCGACATTAATTTTATGTTGACATGTTCTCTTAAAAAGAAAATAAATGATATATTCTTATTTTTTGCTTTAAAACAAAGAAACTACAAACACAAACTTTAAGAATAGATAGGTAATAACTAAGTTTAAAAATAACGAACGAATAAAACGAAACATAAAAAAAACGTACAAAATATAGTTCATTTTAATAATGTTGCTAATGCATAGATAGTCATCGTCGCTATCGTCGCATATTGCACAAGTGAAAAAAGCGTTCTTGCTGCCCTTGTTGCACATGCCACAGATCCATTTTTGGCAATTTAAGCATTGAATCCATTCAAGATTATTTTTCGATTTACTGTATAGAGTTAAGCATATACCACATTTTGCGTTATCTTCTTTACGTTGTTTTTTACCACCTTTTAGAGATTTAGTTTTAAGTTTCATTTGTTCCTCTTCATTTTCGGAATCTGTGTAAATGTCGGAGTAGGCAACTTTTTTTGGTCTGTTCTGTTTTATTTCGTAATGTCCCAGACTATAGTGAACGCATCTAACTAATTCAGGACAAACGGTGCAACTCAAGCGACGTAATTCCAAATAATCAGGATTGGTTGTTGTCCAACAGGCTTGGTGCACTTTCATCGTTCCAACAAAAGTTTTAATACCGCTGATGGGTATCTTGTTATCAAATTCTGAAATATTGCTTGAAGAAATGACGACGATTTCCATTCCTGGGCATGCCTTTGTTAGATAAAAAACCATTAACTCCAAATTTTGAAGATCATATTGACAAGCGACCAGACGATCGGCGGTTCGTTTAAGATAGCCGCCTACAGCATCTACAGCACCTTTACCGTGTCCACTTACTTTTTTCAAAGTAGTTCCACGAAATTGCCTCTACATCTAACAATTTGGGAATTTCAGTAGCCATTAGGTAGAACATGGATCTATTGCGATACTGGGTGCTTGGTCCGTCACTACAGATGTAAACTTTCTTAAGAAATGGCATTTTTACCTTAATGTGCTTAATTAAAGGTTTTAAATGAGCCAAAATTGCAATCGGGTCGTGCCGTAGGTTTTCTGACAATGTGCAGTAAGGATATGCTTTAATGGTACCTTGTGGATCCTTCTCATACCACATTGCAGTGTGAATGGAAATTTGGGGCTTTGATCCACCAAAATGAGCACTTTGAATTTCTCGATTATATTTGCAATTATAATTTTCCGAAAAATCGATGTGGGTCAAAGCCTCCGTACCACTTGCAAGTTTTCTTTAATTTCCCGTATCTTACGGTGTTGATGTCTCATGTTAGATATATGCAACATATATTTTGGCATGTTTCTATTTAATTCTGCAACTAACTCTGCCTTTACACAACGAATGATATCTTTTACATTCCTTTTTGTTGTTTTTTCTTCACCTTTAATGGTGTATTTTTCTGTCTTTAAAACCCACTTCTTGTATGAGCAGTTTTCTGTTTCCTCATAGGGCAAAATTGGCAGGGTTCTATTCTTACAATCTACACATTTTCTTTCAAGACAGTCGTTTACCAGCTCACAACATATTTCTCTACAAAGTTTATCTGGACTGTTTGCATTAATCATATGCAATACTTTCATTTTTGTGACCAATAATAGCATGTTTTCATGAATAACGCACAAACATGTTTCCCTTTTGCTTGCTGTAGGAATTAACATCCAAAAAGGTCTGTATTTGCAGAAAGTTGCATAACTCATTTTGAGAGGAATATTGCCCTCTAGTAAAAATTTATTATTATAAATATTTTTGAGGGTATCTGTGAGATACCTTTTTTGTTTCTTTACTTTTTTAAAGGTAATTACATCGTTTTTACCCGGACACATTCTACTTACGTCGTCTCTTTCAAAAAAATCTGTAAGGTGTCTTTTACCTTAAATTGAACTCTAGATATTTGTTTATTTTTAGGTCTATTCAATATGTATGTGCCACAAATCTTATTCATTTCACTTGTCAAACGATACTGTTTGATAATGTTTCCAGACGTGCATTTTATAAACTGCCTTTTAGCCTTGTAGCTTGTGTTTATAGAAATAAAATTGGCAGATAGTTGTTTTCTTAAAACTTCTCCAACAAAGATTTTTTTTCTGACTTCTGAAGAAACGCTTTGACCTTTTAACAACTTTTCGGTGTTTGTTAAAGGTGAATTTTTCTTGATTTTTTTATTTTTACATCTCTGTAGTCTTGTTTTATACCGCTGCGTTAATTTTTTGTACTTCTCTACTTTTCTCTCCAATTCCTTTAATTTTCTTACAGTTGCTGAGCGCTTCCTTAAAACCCTTTTTCTTCCAGCGCTTGCTACATCCTGATTGTTTTCAATTTCGTTTAGATCTCTGGTAGGTGTTGCCGGAGGAGTGTTTTCTTTTAGCATCTGCGTAGCTCGGGTTACAAGTTTTTTGTTTGTATTATAACTCCGTTTGTATTCTTTCCACTTTTTTCTTAATCTTTTTTCTCCCTTCTGGATACTTCCCCAATAAGCTTAATTTTGCCTTGTTTTTTTCGCTCATAATATCTTTCTCTTTCCTGTTGCTTTGCTTTTTCATATTGCTCTGGATTGCTTCTTACTTTCTCTCTACGTCTGCGTTCACAATCTCTTTTTTGCTGCCTTCGCTTCTCTAAGTCTACCTTTGGCCTCGCCATATTTCTGCTAAAACAAAAAACCTATTAAACCACATGATTAGCATAGTCTTATAATTAATTTAAATTAAGGCGTATTCTTCTAAGGTTGAAAAACAATTACTTTTTCTACTCCATGGACACCAATCTGCTCCATGGACATACAAAAGTCCATGGAGCAGATTTTTTTTGGAAAAAAATAGCTTTACACTCGCAAAACAAAAAACACAAACTAATTTGTACATAAAATTAAAATGCCAATAAATGGTCACCTAACCGCAATATTTTTATTTAAATTTTACTTGTTCAAATCATTTTAAAAGCCCCCATGGAGTGGAAAACAATAAAAATACGCACCTGCCAGCGCTCACTTCGACTGTCACTACCACTAATCCGCACAAAATTGGGCGATGCTTGCATGTCGAGCGACAAAACTAGACTGAAGCACGAGTACCGACGGGCCTTCGCGCGCTTAAAGATGCAATACCAACCATAAGGAGCAAAATTCCCCTAGGTCCACGGAGTGGAACTCACCTTTTTACATAATTTTTGATGATTATTTTTAGTAATTATTTTATTTTGGCTATAGCATTATTATTATTGACATTTAATCTTTTGATAAAAACGATTGTTGTGACCCGAAACTATGTAGAGTTTCTGAAATAAAGCAATATCTTTGGCAAAACGTGTTGGTTACAGTCCATGGAGTGGAATTTTGGTACTTTTGGACAGTTTTTAAAAATATTTTTAAAGTCAAATTTAAAAGTTTAATAAGTGATCCTAACAAAAGGTATTTCATTTTATTGCCTAAGCATGTTAGATAACTAGAGCGTACTCTTGTTTTAGTAATTTTGGATGGTTACATCAAATTGTCCCAAATTTTGAGAATCACCCATGTATCCTATAAACATCTTTCTTGGGGCGATATAGGGAGAGATTTAGTTCTTGGAACGTATTGTAGGAAGTTGCAATAGTCAGAGGCAAAATATCCTTCCCAGTGCAGAATTCTTTCTTATAAAATCCATACAGTTTAGCCTTAGAGGTCCAATTTGGTTGTAAGTATAGCTTTGAAGAATCTCTTCTGCAGTAGTGGGATTCCATCTTTGCTAAGGAATCGAAGAAATCTTTTAAATGTTTGGCATCCTCGGTCTTACTATTATTTTTAGGTGCATGTGAAATCCTTGATTCATGTGTAATCCACTGCTTAATAGCCCATTCTCCCAAACACAAAGTATTTAGACACATTTTTTTGCACACGCAATCTCTCATTGGATGTGGTCAAGTAAAGCTCCACGGAATTATTCCGCCTTGAGACATCTGACATACCCCTTTCCCTTTGTGTTGCCTTATAAACAGGAGAGGTTTTAACGTAGATGCATTTCTCTTTCCAGCTGAGATTCCAAAAATTTTCAAATAGGACCTTTCTTTCGGACTCAGTTAGCTTAGTGCATTGCAGCTTTGAACCCTTTTTTAGGCTCAGCTTACACCCGCATGGACTGCGCATTCTTTTTTCCACTCTTCCTAAATCTTCCTAAATCTCCATTTGCCATCTATTTTCTTTTTTCCAAAGTATCATCTTCCTGTCGCCCTTAGCCTTTTATTCTCGTAGACGCTCCACTCTTCAGGTATACGCTTCTTTGATCTCTTCCTGGCTACTTCTTCCACTGATTCATTGCATGTGTCAGTTATTTGATCTTTCTGAGCGACGATTCTATTATTTGTCTGATTTGAGTTATTATCACTCAGCGATATAAGACGGATGTGTGGCGTCTCTGTAATATTCAAGAGTCCAGGTAGTTTCATTTCCGAGTTTAAACTTTCATGTCATTTTATGTTTATAAATGGCTCAGAGGACGTAATAATATTTAGCTCGTCTATGATTGAGTTTTCGCAGCAAAGAATGTCATCTACAGGATCATAAACGTCAGCTGCTGGAGAAGATAGTATTGGCATAGGTATGCCACTTAGTTCATCTTGTATGTGTTCAACGGACAACACTGGTAAAGGAAGTAGGTATATCAAAATCGTGTTTATTGGAGATAGGCGTATAACTTTCCATCATTTCAGGATTTACACTTACAGCTGTGACGTCCCTTCCGTACGCATCATACGGATAATTTTCCTTTCCATCGATTACAACTAACCCACCGTTTTCTTGTACGACGTAAGAACCTCGTACCTTAGATATTTCCGAAAAACTATTGACATTCAAATTCTGCAGAATCCTAATAGTGCGAGATGGTACGGGACATCCTGTATACATATTATCCTCCATATTCAGAGATCTGAAACAAATATTTCTGATAACACCTGACATAATTTTCAGGTCATTTTTTTTCCTGAGAATTATATTCTTTTTTAACCGGAAAATTTTGCTATAATTTCGAACGCCAAGTTTAGGAAAAATTTGTATCTCCAGATAGAGTCTCATAAAAATCATTAGCAAATTGCGTAACTCCTAATGAGACTTGAAGCATGCCTTTTCTAACTGACCACTATATACACAATATACTTAAAATTAATTCATATACTAACCTAAATAGTTCTTCGATATATAATACTGAGATATTTCTAGGGTAACAGTAGGATTTTTCAGCGCAATACACTCGCACGTGCTACAAGCTATACTAACAGTGGAGATAGGTGGATTGCGTTTACAGAAATAGTACCGAAAAGTTACGTTGTATTCTAAATCATAGATATCTTTAATTGAATGAGTTATTGGGATATATGATGAATTTCAACAGATGCGTTTGGCTTTTTCACAATAGATGGTACTACAGTGTAAAATTCAGTAAAAAATGGAGTTACGCGGTTTGAAAATTAAGCCGACGATATACAGTATAAACTAATTTTTGCTGTCGTTGATGTACCTTAACACTAGAATTTTATATTTTTTTGGTCACATGTCCAATAAAAAATTTCAAATATAAAGTAACTCATCTATTAAGGTTCCAATTATCTTCCACTTTTTTTCAGCAAAAATATAATTGATGAAATTTTTTTCTGAAGGAGCCGATTTTCCTCGCAAGGTTTACTCCATAATTTTTTGCAGCTTCATAAACGGCTTTAATGGGTGGTAGGCCGCCGCTTATCGATATGGACACATTTTCAAATTATTTCCCTTATCTCTGCCTCAAACCTGTACACTGTTGATTTCGGACTTGGTTTAGAAACATTTTTTCTTGAGAGAGACAAATTTACTGCCTGTGGGTTTAATCGAACCTTCATTCACAATGCGTTTTACTGTATTGAGTGATACACCTGTGGCCTCTGCTGCTCGATTCATCAGATAATTTAGATGTAAAATGACTTTCCCTGCCTCCTTTTCACGGCCCATGAATTGAAAAACGTTATATACAATCTGGCGGTCCTGGCTATGAACAACCTTGTGCTGGTTCTTATCCCTTTTAAGAAAAAATATTATCATAGATCTGAGTAAAATTATCATATTAAAGTTCTCGGAAAAGGTTCGCAAATAAAATAGGAATGGAAGCGTGTGGTAATATGTTCCAATTGATCTAGGAGCAACATTTGATTAACATAATTAAATGCATATACGTTACATCTCAGATTATCAAAGCTTTATACGTGAAAAAGAACAATACCAACTTCAATGCTAACGCTGTTTCATACAATAAGTCATCTACATTCTTCGAAACTTTTACACTTACATATTGAATATAAAAAACAATCTTCACAACACCTAGTCTACCATAAAAGAAATCCAACATACAAAATCGTAATCTACACGCGCCCGCCAATGAGTACCGATAGTTCTCCCGTGGATGTTCAAAGCGGAGTGCCAGACAGTCTGCCTCGAAAAAGTCTATATTTTTGATTAGGATAATATTCTTCCGGCTGCTCTTATATTTGTCTTCTGCGCATCCACATAATGTAAAGGTCACTGCCCACGACGTTGTAAAACACCTCTTCATATGTGTAAATTCCCAATCTAGCAGTATAC